CTGTGCCTGCAAGACCTGTCTTGGACTGTATTCCTGTCATCTAAATAAACCTTCTGCTTTACTGGCTGGCTGAGAGTCATGGTGAATCGCAGGACGCCGGGGGTGCAGGGCCCTGAGTCCCCCCATACTCCGTGACACAGGGGGAGGGGTCGCCCCTAGGATGTGTGGGGGGGTCACTGGCCAGTATTGGGGGGGGGATCATGGGAGCATCTCAGTGGTGCAGGGAGGTCACCAGGGGGATCCCGGGGCAGCATCTCAGTGGTGCATGGGCGTCACCGGGGGGATCCCGGGGCAGCGTCTCTGGGGGGTTCACCCGGGGTTGGGGGTCCCTGTGCTGTGTCTAACCAGGTCTCTCCCCCCCATAGCACTTTGAGCTGACGCTGAACCAGTTTGGCCCCTACAGGATGGATTATACCCGACCTGGCCGGTGAGTGGGGGGGTGGGCAGGGAGGAGCATGTGGGGGGAGAGTAGGAGGGAGGGGGACCCGTGGGGCAGGTGGGAATCAGTGGGGAAGGAGTGGGGGGTTGGCTGGCTGTACCTAGGTGGCAGGTCTTCTGGGCACCGGTTGGAGAGGCAGGGCCCGACTGAGTTTCCTGTGTGGGGGAGGGTCTGCGTCAGGGACCCCTAACCCCACAGGCCTCCCCTGAGCTGCTTTGGGGGTCCCAGCAGCGTCCCATAGGGGCAGGTCAGGAGACATACGGAGACTGGATTGTGTGTGTTAGAAGATGAGTCTCCCCGGTCCATGGCTGGGGGGTTCCCCGGCTGCTCCCCTCATCCCTCCCATCTCCCCTCACAGGCACCTGCTGCTAGGGGGCCGGCGGGGCCACGTGGCAGCCCTGGACTGGCAAACCAAGTCACTGCTGTGTGAGATCAACGTCATGGAGACGGTCACTGACATCACGTGAGTGTGCGACTGGGGGCGTGCGACACAGATGGGCACATGAGCGACGGGGGTGGGGGGGTGCGACGCGGATGGGCGACCAGGGAGGGGGCAACACAGGGGGGCCGGGGGGGGGGCTGCATCCACTGCTCCCTGCAGGTGTAATGGTGCATCAGCAGGACGTGCCCATTGCACATGTGGGCGAGCATCGGGAAAGCGAGTGTGCACGTCCCTGCCTGCCCGTGGCTGGGGAGGCTGGTTGGGTTGCATGCGGGGGCGTGTTACACAGGCAGCGTTTGGCAGGTTGCACGCAGGCTGAGCTGTGCAATGGGACACATCGTGGTCCCCGCCCCCTCCCCCGTCTCACCCCCCCCCCGTTCCCAGGTGGCTGCACACGGAGACCATGTTTGCGGTGGCCCAGCGGCGCTGGCTCTACGTCTACGACAACCAGGGCGTGGAGCTGAACTGCCTGAAGCGCTTCAACGGGGTCCTGCGCATGGAGTTCCTGCCCTACCACTTCCTGCTGGCCACTGCGGTGAGCGGGGGGAGAGGGGGGTCCTGCTGGCCACCGCGGTGAGCGGGGGGAGAGGGGGGTCCTGCTGGCCACCACGGTGAGCGGGGGGAGGGGGGTCCTGCTAGTCATCACGGTGAATGTGGGGGGGTCCCGCTGTGTGGGGGTCCAGATGCCGGGGTTCCCGCTGCTCACCACAGTGAAAGAGGGGGGGGGGCCCGGACACCAGGGCTCCTGCTGGGTAAAGCGGGGAGGGGGCTTGGGCGCCAGGGTTTGGGGGCCGGTGCCCCACTGACCCCTCGTGCCCTGTGCAGAGCGAGACGGGGTTCCTGCAGTACCTGGACATCTCGGTGGGGAAGGAAGTTGCCACCATCTGCACCCGGGGGGGGCGCCTGGGCGTGATGGGGCAGAACCCAGCCAATGCCATCGTCCACCTGGGACACAGCAATGGTGAGACTGCCCCAACCCTGCCCCATT